CAAGAAGAATGCTAGTGAATGGGAAATTTCCACTCCCATTTGAAGGTTTTGAACAGACTATTTTCTAGAACTTCATTTCTTCATTGTAGAGTCTGGGAAGAAGGGTAATTATTACTGCACTCTTCACTTGTATAGAACTTATCACTATGGACTCTCTGGTGAATCAGGAGGCCTGAGCTCCAACGAAAACCCTTCCCACATGCCTCACATTCAAAAGGTTTCTCTCCCGTGTGGACTCGCTGATGAGCTTGAAGGTTGGATCTCTGGCTGAAGCCCTTCCCACACGCCTCACATTTGTATGGTTTCTCCCCAGTGTGGACTCTATGATGGGCCTGAAGGCTTGAAAATCCACTGAAGCCTTTGCCACATTGTTCACACTTATAGGGTCTTCCTTCTGTGTGGACCTTCTGATGTGCTTGAAGGCGTGAGCTCTCACTGAAGCCCTTGGCACACACCTCACATTTGTAAGGCTTCCTTCCTGTGTGGACCCTCTGATGGACCTCAAGACGAGAACTCTGACTAAAACTCTTCCCACACAGCTCACACTTATATGGCTTCACCCTTGTATGAACTCTCTGATGGCCTTGAAGATATGCTCTCTGACTGAAGCCTTTTCCACATACCTCACATATGTATGGTCTCTCTCCAGTGTGAACACTCTGATGGCTCTGAAGGTATGACCTCTGACTGAAGCTCTTCCCACACTCCTCACACCGGTATGGCTTCTCCCCAGTGTGGACTCTCTCATGAGTCAGGAGAGTTGAGGCCTTACTGAAGCTCTTACCACATTCTCCACATTTGTAAGGCTTCTCCCCTGTGTGAACCCGCTGGTGAATCTGAAGATTAAAGTTCCAGCTGAAGCTTTTCCCACACTCCTCGCATTTGTATGGTCTTTCCCCAGTGTGAACTCTCTGGTGGCCTTGGAGGTGTGAGCTCCGCCTGAAGCCTTTCCCACACTCCTCACACTTGTATGGCTTTTCTCCTGTGTGGATTCTCTGGTGGCCTTGAAGGTAGGAATTCCGACTGAATCCCTTCCCACACTTCTCACATTTGTATGGCTTTTCTCCAGAGTGGATTCTCTGATGAGCTTGAAGATATGAATTCCGAGTGAATTCCTTACTGCACTCCTCACATTTATAAGGCTTCTCTCCTGTGTGGATTCTCTGATGAACTTTAAGAACTGACTTATGGCTGAAACCTTTGTCACACACATTGCATTTGTACAGTTTATCTCCTGTGTCAACTTTCTGATAGTCTTTATGTTTTGAACTCCAATTGAAGCCATTCTCATACTTCTTACATGTTTTCTCTGCAGTACAAATTTTCTGATTGCACTGGATATATGAAATTTGACTGATGTTGTTACCACATGCAAAACGTTCGTATGCTTGTTTCCTATTGTGGATAATCTGAAGGTCCTGAAAATTTGAGGCCAACCTGAGGTTGTTATCAACTGCCTCAGAATTATAGAGATTCTCTTCTATGTGAACTCTCTGCTGAACGCTACAACCTGAACTACAAATGAAGTCCTTCTCACACTCCAAATCTGTGCACAGTTTCTCTTCAAGGTGGGTTTTCTGATGAACTTCAAGATATGAGCTCTGGTTAAAGACATATCTATTTTCTTCATATTCATGTGGTTTCTCCCCACTTTGGGCCCTAAAAATATCACTGAAGCCTATACTATGGCTGAAGGCTTTACCACAAATCCTGTACCCACTGGACCTTCCCCCTGTGTGAATAAGCTCAGAAGGGTTAAGAGGACAACATTGCTTAAGGCTCTTACCATAGTTACATGTGCATACTTTCTCCTTTGTCTGCCCTCTCTGATGAGGCTGTAGATGTGAACTCTTGATAGCACAATCATCTCCTGTATGAACACTCTGGTGAATATGAAGAACTGAGCTATAACCATGTCCCTTTCCGTGTTCATCGTACATCTGTGACTTCCCTTCTAATAGTAATGGCTGATGAACTTCAGAGCTGGGAACATCACTGAAAGTTTTTCTATACTCGTTGTACCAGTAGGGCTTAGGTCCTGTTTGAATTAAGTCCTGATTAAGTAATGGTACCTGCATGATGTCTTTACCACAATCATGGCAGCTGTAATTTTTTTCCATTTTGTGTATTTTCAAATTGTCATTGTGATATGGGATCCAACCAATGCTGTCACACCTACAAACACTTTTTTTTGTGGGTATTTGCTGGCGTCTGCACTGATATTTGTGCGCCTCAGTTAGATATGTCTTCCTCCAAGAATGCAGGGCTCTCCAAGATGGGGATTCTTGATTCTCTATATAATTAGGACTCTTCCCTTTGTAGGCCAATCTACAGTCCTTGTCTTCAGATACTTGAATTGGTACTCTTGCCCAAACATGGCAGGGGGACTCACTTTGGTTCTTTAGCTGAAAATTAGCACCCTGACTGTTTCTGATGGAATCTTGGCACCTGGTTAATCCACTTGCATCTTGTGGAAGAGAAGAAAGCTCTTTAGGGGAAAGGTAGTTTAACTGCATTTCTTGAATATGTTTCATTACATGTTGACTCTTGCTTTCTGCAGGGGAAAAGAGAATTTAAAGAGTGCTTTATACAGATATTTCAAGAGTTACCCTTCGGTCATAATATGAAACTTGAATGAATCAGAGGAAAATTCCCAACATGACCTCAAGAATACACAAAAAATTCATCATATTTCACCGAACCAAATGTTTTAGTAAGAGTTAGAGAACTCAGACGATCTGTATGTTTCAAAATGAGGAATCCACTATACAGCCTGGACATCAGGACATGGGGATCCTGTTCAAAAGGTCCAATAATATTGTACATTGCTACCATAGGATGCCTGGAGATAGAAGGAGAAAATAATCTCAAACTGCAAAGAATAGAGTTGAAAATGGATGAAGGCTTTTTGTGTTGATAATAACTTTTTTCCCCCTCCTACATAGGGATGGTAACTTTGTATGTAGGAAATTAAATGTCAAATGTGCTGAAGAAAGTAAACAAAGACCTTTACTATATCTTTGAGGCCTCGTGTGGCTACTCTCTGATGGGCCGTTTAGCTTTATAATAAACTCTCTAAATCACTGTAAGCTGTTATTGGTTTTTTGACTCCTCTCAAAGTAGTTTCACAGTTACCAGGGGTACATGGCATAGGTCAGAATGTGAAACTCAGTGATGGTATTCAACATAAAAGACATATGAAAAACATACATGGTCAAAGGGGAAGCAAAGCCTTCCTGCAGACAACCTTTGCATCAACTCATAAACCCTGAACAAAACTCAATAGCCACTGACCTCAGCTTGAGCCATTTTACTAGACAATTACTTCAATGTTTAAGAAAATTGAGGCACCAAAATAGTTAAGGATAGGTATATTTGGATAGAAACAGTTATCACCTAGTTACTAGAGTTCAAGTTGGCAGTAGATTTTCATATCCTGGTGAGACGCATTCTCCATGAGGACAAATGTTTAAATAGAGTTAAGTAATGACATACATGCTTCAAACACTTGGTGGTACATCAAATGGGAAGATGAAGAGCTGGGACTATGAATGAGGAAATTTTCTCCAACCTACGAGTGTCTCACTTGAATTTGATGTATAAGAAGGGTCAGTGACTATGTTGGCATTGGCTATTTTTTATATTAAATTTAATGACTGGCTAGTCTTATCTTAAAGGAGTAATGATTACCGATCAATAAATACGTGTGAAAGTTGGACGATGAATAAGACTAAAGAATATCAATTGCAGTTTTGGCAAAGAATGTTGAATATCTCATAGACTGCCAAGGGAAAAAACAAATCTGTCCCGGAATAAGTGCAATTAGAATGTTCCTTAGAACAGAGCATAGTGAGACTTCACCTCATTTACTCCGGGCATGTCATCGGGAGAGGCTAATCCCTGAAGGAAGACATTATGCTCGTTCAAGGAGAGGGTCAGTGAAAAAGACGACTCTCAAAAGCATCCATCACTTGACCAGCAACATTCTTGAGCATCCTTCAGTTACATGGGTTCATTCTATACCTGTCAGCTATCTCACACAGGCCTGGAGACAGGAGTCTGTGCATCTATTAACCAATTCCTTTCTCTTAAGCAAAGAGAAGAGCAAGTCAAGGAACTTGAGGCAGAGGCATAAGTAACAAGTCTGGTGAGCATCTATGGTCCAACAGAGCTGAAAAAACTGACCGAGCAAAAAGAAAGTGGAGTTTAAAGGACAGATGCTTTAAGAAAAAAAATGGTTACTTTAACTACTTTCAATTTTACTATGTATGCAATGTAAAATCACTGGAGTATTTAAAACAGAGAAGTGACACAGCTGTTTTAGAAGGGGGTCTTGGCTACTGGTTACTGCCATAATGCTCACCTGGACACCCATTTCTTTGGGTTTCTGTTTCCATTATTAAAAGTTTCTCTTCTCTCTCCAAGTGAGTTATCAGGTCTGGTTTGAAGGGTTGATAGCCTACAAAAGCCAAGACAGTAATTGATTTGTACTTTTATTAAGTTCTGTTTCCAAGTCTTTCCTTTGCTGAGTCATGCTGCTAGTATTCTAAGAACTCTTTGCCTGGCACAAGCTTATGAAGACTCTCTCCAATAGGCTTCCTTCTAGAAGTTTCATACTGTTGTGGCTGTGTACCATTGAGTTGGGTCTGATTCACAGCTTACCCTCCAGAAGGCTCTCAGAAGCAGTAAACTGCCCATCTTTCTCCTGAGGAGCAGCTGGTGGATTTGAACCATATGAGTCCAAGTTCATCTTTTTTAACTAAATGTCCCAGCACCATCTGTTAAAAAGGTGATACCTTTTCCACTGAATTGCCTTGTACATCTAAGGCAGTGTCAGAATTGGTTCTTCCATAGCACATCAATAAAAAGACCCACTAAGAAGCATCCAGGATTGCAATTTTTCCTTCCATCTTTTCTTCTGCTGTACCCTAAACTAGGGGCATACAGTTTTACACGGTGTTTCTTAGCTACTTCCTTTAGTTTTTTTCCTTTTTCTCTCAATGTCGCTAACTGTATTCATTTAAAATCAACTTGGGTTCATTTGTTTCATTTTCCTCTACATTTTAGTTTCTTGACCAAATTTAATGTGTTGAACTAACATATTTTTGATGTGTTGAACTGACATATTTCCAGATGTTCAAGCTATGACAAAAGTGGCAAACTCAGGGGAAAAAAGTGTGATTCACTCTCACTTTCCTTCTTTTTACCTCCCTCCTACCCTAAGAGCCATCACTTCCTAATTTTATAATTAATCCTTTCTGTGTTTCTTATAAAAATAAGCAGATTATAGACTATTTCTCTTATCTCTCATCAATCTCTATTCTTTCATTTTTCTTACATAAATTATAGTCCAGTATTGTCATGAACTGAGTTATATCCCTGCAAAATACATATACATAATGATGCATGTGCAAGTTTTGTTATGCTCCTCAATGATATGATAAGCCAAGCAGTTATAAAATGATTAAAGATGGGACGCAACAACTCTCAATCCCATCACAGCCCTCAGCCAATGTCAGGGGCATTTACATGGGGTATGGCCTGTCATGTCTTTTCTCTTATAAGAGATAAAAGGGGAGGGGGGAAGAGAAGAGAAGGGGAACACAGAATCCAGGAGTGGAGGGCATCATTTGGATCCTGGTCCCCGCCCTGGGATGCTTGGCACAGGTTAAGACCAGGACATAGGTGGATCTCCAAGGAATGTCAGGCTAACAAACAGGAAAAGAAACAAAGACCTTCCCTCCAGAACCAACAGGGAGAAAGCCTCTCTCTAGAGCCTGCACCCTGAAGTAGAATTTCTAACCTCTCAACTAACTATAAGAGAATAAATTCCTGTTTACTGAAGGACTCCACCAGTGGTATATCTGTTACAGCAGAACTGAATAACCAAGACAACTGTCAAAACCCTTCTACATTTTGCTATCTTTAGGTGAAATTCTTACAAGTGGATTGCTGGGGAAAGCTAACTATATATATAATTTTTGTTTTGTTGTTGTTAGGTGTGGTCAAGTTCACTACGACTCACAGTGACCCTATGAACATCATATCGGAGCCTGTCCCTAACTCGTACCATCCTTAGATCTTTGATATGCTTGAACCCACTGTCACAGTCACTGTTCCAGTCCATCTTGTTGAGAGTCTACATACCATGCCCCAATAAAATGTATAAGGGCTCCTCACAGAAGTGAATGATTCCAGAGTTAGGGCAAAGTAAGTAAAAGCTAAATACAGAATATCATATTGTATCATAAAATAAGGGAGTGGTCCCCAAAAATGTTGATGTCATGTCACAAAGACACAGGAGCTAGCTTAAAGATTACACTGGCCTAATTTGGGGCTGTTTTAGTATAAAAATAATGAATTACAATAATAAATTATAAAATAGTCAGAAATCCCTACAAATAAAATGCCTGAGAAGAAAAGACTCCTGCTTATCACAGAATGCTCAGCACTGTAAGTGCTAACTACAAAGGAAACACCAAGCTGGAAACCCACCGTTGTGCAGTTAGCATAGTGACATGAGAACAGATAAGGCAAGGATCATGCTAACACAGTTCAGGGGAATTTCTAAGCATATTTGACTCGTTTTAAGAGTGATGCTGGGACACTGGGTCACAAACATACAAAAAGTTGAACCTGGGATCATGTCACTTATCTTAAAAGAACATGAACCCAAAATAGATCATAGACTTAATGCAAAAGTTTGATTTCAAGCAGAGAAAAGCAGTAATTATATAGTAAAGAATATCTTGACCAAGTGATCAAAATCAACAGCCTCAATAAGGGGTAGGTAGGCACTGTGGGCCTTTAGATGTGATGTGAACAGCTGTGGTAACGCAATGGTTAAGGGGATAGGCTGCTAACAGAAGTTCTTCAGCTGGAAGCCTCCCATAGCTCCAAGCTGTGGAAGACCCGCTGATCTGCTTGCATAAAGCAAACAGCCCAGGAAACTCCACCAGGTGGCTCTATCTTATCTCACAGTCACCATGAGTTGGAACTGACTTAATGGGTTAGGTGTGCTGCCCTGAAACAGACACTGCCACCGATGCTGTGTTTCAGCTGGAACAGATGATCTAATCATGAGGACACATTAGAAATAGCTTATTAAAAATGGCGGGGGCAGGGCTAACCATAATCTTCAAAAAATGTCACTTCTTAGACAAAAGGCCATGGAAATGTTTCTGATTAAATGTGCCTAAATGGACCCTAGGAGCTCAGGTGGCTTAGTGGTAAGAAGTGGCACTGCGATGCTAAAGGCATGCAGTTCAAATCCACCAGCTGCTCTGCCGGAGAAGGATGGGCAATCTCCTCCCATTGAATTAACTGTCTCTGAAAAGCCACTGGAGGGTCAGCTATAGGTTGGTTCCAACTTGATGGTATACAGCAACACTATGAAGGGACACAAAAACAGGATTATTCCTAGATGTTGTTGAGTGCCTTTGAGTTGGAACTGACCCATAGACAGCATGGGAGATTGTCCATCCTTCTTCTGAAGAGCAGTGGTGGATTCAGGACTGCAGCACAGCTTTTTACCACCAGAGCTCCCTGGCCCTAGACTAGATCCTCTTATGTTATGTTATTGTTAACACCAGGCCACCAGGGCTCCCTAGACCTAGATTAGACCCTGTAATGTTACTGTTAGCACTAGGCCACCAGAGATCCCTAGACCTAGACTACACTCTGTTATATTGTTATGTGCCATCAAGTTGGAACTAACTCCTAGCTGACCCGCCAGTGGATTTTCAGAGGCTGTAAATCTCATAGGATGAAAAGGCTCATCTTTTCCTAGGGAGTGGGTGGTGGATTCAAAACCCATTCCTTTGTTGGGAGTGCAGCCCCTTCCCACTAGGCCACCAGAGTTCTCTAGATCCTGATTAAGAGAGAAAATATATGCTGTGGAAAACAGAAATCCTATTATTGACAAAATTGGAATATAAACAACAGAATATTCATAAGTATTATAGGTATTTATGAGTATATAAAGTTTATTCTTATTCCCTTGAAATACAAGCTGGTTTTAGAAGAAACCGTGGAATTAGGGATATTATTGTTGTTCATGGCTTAAAGCAAAGAGTATTAGAAGGGAGTATATTTGTCTTTTATCAATTATACAAAGCCATTTGACTATGTGGTTCACAACAAATTGCAGCGAACATAAAGAAGAATGGGAATCCCGGAAGACTTGATTGTGTTCATGTGAAAACTACCAGGAAGTTTTTGTCCAAGCAGAGTAAGGGAACACTGTATGGTTCAAAGTCAAGAAAGGAGTTTGTCAGGGATGTGTCCTTTCACCACACCTTTTCAATCTATATTCAGAACAGAACATTTAAGAAGATGGACTTCATGAAGCAGAATGTGACATCAGGATTGGAGGAAGACTCATCAGGAACCTGCATTACGCAGATGGCACAACCAAGCTTGCTGAAACTGAGGAGGACCTGAAGCACTTGCTGCAGAAGATCTGTGACTGCAGCCTTCAATATGGATTGTACTGCAACATCAAGAAAATAAAGATCTTCACCACTAGGCCAATAGGCAGAGTCATGATAGATGGAGAAAAGATTGAAGTAAACAATTTAATCTTGCTCAGATCCATAATCAACACCGTTGGCACCAGTAAACAGGAAATCCGAAGTTAGGTTGCACTAGGAAAATCTGCTGTCAAGGACTGCTCCAGAGGGCTCAAGGAACAGCGACGTCAGTCTGCAGATTATGGTGTGCCTGATCTAAACCATGGTTTTCTCATTTGCTTTCTACACACTGAGAGTTGGACATAGGAAGAAGAAGAATCCATGCCTTTGAATCATAGAGAAGAGTATTGAACATGCCAAAAACTGCCTAGAGAACAAGTAACTCTCTCCTGGAGAGGGGAAAATTGGGCTGCTTCTTGGAGGCAAGGATTTTGAAATTCCATCTCACATACTTGTGACAGGAGGACACTTCTTGGAGAAGGACATCATGCTTGGAAGGGTAGAAAGTTAGCACAAGAGAGGAAGATTCTGGATGAGATGTACTGAAATAGTGACTGTGGCAAGCGGGGCAGGTGTGTCAGACAGTGACGGTGGCTCAGGATAGGCCAGGGTTCAGAGCCATTATTCATAGGCTTTCTATGAGTCATAGCTGATTCAACAGCACATCACAACATATTCCCTTGAAAATATATACTAAAGCATTCAGGAGTAAAAGTTTGTGTATATAAATTACCCTTAAATAGTTAAGAAAAACATATGATAAATACACACAAATATACTTAGACACAAATTTTTCCATACATATACATAAATATATTTGGAATGAGGAAGCTTTTTTTTTCACTTTCACAATTTTTAAGTAATTATGAAATTACAAATACTTTTAAAAAATTCTTTTACAAATCTTTTACAAAAAAATTTTTACAAATTCTTTTTAAAATTTTCTTTTATACTGGTTTACTTAGATATTCTTGAAAAATTTGTGTCATTCTGAAATTATTCTACAATTACTATCATTCTGCAAACCAAAAAATAGCTGGAGCAACTCACTAATCTGATTTAACAACCTGTCTTTAGTTCTCAAGTGCCACTCTAACAGATACCACAAGGGGATGGCTTTAATAAACAGAAATTTATTTCCTCACTGTTTAGGCAGCATGAGGTCCACTCTTCACATAGAGACCTGACTCCACATGGGCATGCTCCACTCTTGGGAGTTCTTTCTTGGTGGTAATAAGGTCCTTCCATGGGCTCAATTTCCTCCCCTTTTCCTCTCTTATGAGAGAAAAGGTGCTTCCAGCCACACCTTAGGGAACCTTCCCTTCCATGCTACCAGGCTGTGATGAGATTAGAGGGTGTTGTATTCTGCCCTGAACGTTCTTATACCTATTTGCTTTATTAGACTGGGGGATCATTACACTGTTTCCACATTGTATACATACATATATTTTGGGGAGACAACTAAATCCATGACACATCAAGACCAAAATATAGACTTTTGTCTGGAGAAATAAATGTCTGAAACATGTTGGCTGTATTGCACAGGGATTACAAGGATACAGGTGCCCAAGCTCTGAACACCACTTCTGAAATCCTAGAGCTCAAGTAGATCAGATGATGAGGATGGCTCGAGAAAGGGCAGGGTTCACATCAGTCATTCACAGGGTCACTATGTCATAGTTAACTCAGCAGCACCTAACAATAACAGAGCTTCAAAAAAGGAGCCCTGCTAGCACAGTGGTTAGGTTCTCACCTGCTAACTGAGAGATCAGTGGTTTGAACCCATCAGTCACTCTGTGGGACAAAAGCCTTGGAAACTCTTTGGGGCAGTTCTATCTGTTCTACTGGGTCACTATAAGCTAGAATCAACTCAACAGCAATGGGTCAGAGCTTTAAACACACAGGTGGCACAGAAGCTCATGCTGAGTGACAAAGGGCTCCCATCCTCACCCAAGGAAACCAGGGTCCTGAAGTTCTCCAGCATCACGTCTCGGTACAGAATCCTCTGGGTGGAGTCCAGCAGCCCCAGCTCCTCCTCAGTGAAGGCCACAGCCACATCCTTGAACGTTATGGCCTCCTGCAACACCAAACACACACAATTATGTCCCCCAGAATAAGAGCAGTGCCCTAGTGGTGTTTTCGTTTAAGTTTTGAGCTGCTAACCAAAAGACTAGAGTTAAACCCATCAATTAGGTGACTAATGAAGGATACAGATAAAGCCGCCTCCTGCCATCAAGCCTTCCACCCTCGGAAGCCCTATGGAGCAGGTCTACTCTGTCCCTCAGGGTCACAATGAGTCTTTTTGGTCCCTGAGGGTCAGCAGGAGTCAGAATCCACTCAGTGGCAGTGGACTTGGTTTAAAGATGAGAGGCTGCTCCAGAGCCTCATCAGTGCAGCTGCCTGCTGTTTGCCCCTCACACTGCCAATTTCCTTTCACCAAGAGGGCTGCCAGAAAAGTCTTCTTTGAGCTTGAACTTGCTGCCTTTTTCTTGCACACATACAGGCAGGAGCCTGGAACTATGTTCATCATGGGTTACTAACAACCCTGGTCACTAATAACCCACTGCTATCGGGTTGATTCCAACACACTACCCTCAGGTTTCCAAGGCTATGTAAATACTTACAGGAAGGGGCTGTCCGTATTTCTACTGAGGAGCAGTTAGTGGTTTGAACCAACTGATTCAAACAGGTTGGTTAGCAATCCAACACATAACACACTACACCACTTGGTAATTGTTGTTGTTGTTGTTATGTGCCGTTGAGTCACTTGTGACTCATAGCAACCCTATGTACAACAGCCCTGAACTCTGCTCTGTCCTGTGCCAACCACATCGTCTCCAATACACCCAACCCGATCACCCCAGTCACTGAATCAATCCACCTCATTCAGGGCCTTCCCCTCCTGCGCTGTCCCTCCACCCTCCCAAGCATGATGTCCCTTTCCAAGGACCTGTCCCTCCTTACAACGTGTCCAAAGTATGTTAGACGGAGTCTCAGAATCCTTGCCTCCAGAGAGCCTCCAGTTTACCGCTTTCCAGGATGAATCCATTTGTTTTCCTAGCAGTCCATGGTACTCTCTATTCTCCTTCTATCCTCCTTAGTCACTGTCCAACTCTCTGATGCATAACAAGTGATAGCAAAGACCATGGCCTGTATCAGACACACCTTAGTCTCCAGAGAGACACCATTGC